AAGCAGCTGGGGCACATACAAGCTGCACACTTCCTTGGTGGAGTGCTGCAGGCTGGCATGTTTGTCACCTAGGCGTTTCACCAGCGTGGCCAGCATCTTGCGTTGGTTCTTCACTGCATCCTCTAGGAACTGATACCTATAAGGGGGGAGAAAAAAATCTGAATCATCCCACCAGGCACCACTGAGCCTTGGGAGGGGCTCAAAGTGGCCCCATGTGGACAATGCAACTCATGGGCCTGCAGTAGAGCAGCAAAACCACTCAATAATTACCTAGCTTCATCGTTAAGCTTATTAGTTTGCCATTAAAACACATCAGAAAAAGACTAAAAAAAAAAAAAAAAAAGATATCCTGACTCTGATATTCTATCATACGGAGTTAACTCAATTAGCTATTTACCTTAACTAAGTTAAACCCTAAACATCAAAAATGATTTTAATATAACTAACCCACGGGTTGATTAGCTGAACTAATGTTATTTGCTCACCTAATAAACCAAGTCAGTCTTAAATCCAGCCAGGCAATTCAACCAGCTGAGTCATTAGCTAACTCAATTAATTACTAAGAAAGTAATTACAATGATTTTTAATCACTCATGCCCCCAACTGCTCAAGACTTAAACTGCATTTAAATCCCCCAAAATCCCAACTTAACACCCTCAAAAAAAAACCAACCACCCAGCTAATTAATTATCCAACTAAGCAGCCTGGAAACTAACCTGGTTAATTAGAACAAAAAAACTGAGAGAAAACTGACGCTTGTTAGCTGATTAGCTACTGAAGGGAGTGAGCAAGTAGCAATTAATCAGATCTGTTACCGTAATAGTTACCAAGTGGCAGTAATTAGAGAAAATTAGAGAAGACTGCTATGCTGCTTGGTCAATCCCTTCAAGAGCTCACCAGCTCATGTTTCAACAAGCCGATTCAAAGGGTAATTAAGCAATTTGTGAGCACTGATTAATGCTGATGCCACTCACTGGTGATCCTTGTGTGCGTTGAGCTGGCAGTCCCGACAGGTCAGAGTGTCACACGTGTCACAGAAGATCATCAGTGGCTCCTGCTTGTGCACGGAGCAGTAGACATTGTGATCCACTTCCTTCAGGCTGTTGTTGGCTGTGGGGTGATGGCAGCATGATGGTATCACATCCCAGCAAAACCAAAGGCTCTGTTTGTGACTCCCCCCCCCAGGTGCCTAATTATGGTGTCACCACCTCAAGATGGGGACAAAGACAAACCTGCAGCCCTCACTGTGTGATCCTTGGTGTATTTGACCCGCTGGTGAGCCTCCACACAGGTGTCACACAGAGGCTCTGAGCACTCCACGCAAAAGCTGGTAGCAGGAGCATTGTCTTCACAGCTGGTGCAGCACTGTTGGGTGAGAGCTGTGAGTCTCAGGGATGTCCCAGGGTGCTAATTAACCCCTTAATTAGTTACACATTACCTGAGTGGAGGCCGGGTTGGCACCAGCCATCTTGGCTCCTTTGTCTTTGAGAAAGTAATTCTCTACCACATCCTGCAGCTGACATTGGTGCTTGCAGATGGGGCAGTCGACCACTGCAGTGAGGAGAGCAGTACAGGACATTATTTATCCCCTCATTACAGCTCCTCCTCCCCCCCNAAAGTACCACCATTGGATCATTAGCAAAGTGCTAACAGGATCCAGCAGAGCCAGAAGATTCAATGCCTTTGTGGGCACTCCAAAATTGGAGCCCTGGGGCTATGCCTGACCTCACCAAAAAGAGGATAAAGCCTTGGAGTGGGGGCTGTGACCCAAATGGGCCCACCAACTGCACCACAGCCAGGGCTTTGTCCAGGTAAATCCATGACAAAGAAGATGCAGGCAAAGCTGTGCCCTAAAGCAGTGTTCCAACCCTCCCCCCCCCAGCCCTCCCTTCCTTCCTCTGTACTTCAAGAAAGGCAAGAGGCAGCAATCTGAGATCCCACCAGAACCTTTTCTGTGGCACGGGAGAAACAGTGAAGAAACCTCCAAGCCCCAGCACTGCATGGTCCCCTGCTCCTTTCCATTGTGCTGCATGACCCCCAACCCCCCTCCCCATCACCCAACCACCTCCCAGCCCCTCCCCCTGGCACCCAACCACTCCCCCAGGCCCCCTCCCCATCACCCAACAACCCTCCCAGCTCCCCAACCCCCCCCTCCCGTGGCACTGCACCACCTTCTACTCCCTCATGATCCCACACTCTCCTCCATCTCCCCCCACCAGTAAAGAAAAACCCCCAAATCCCTGATTCCTCTGCATGGGGATCCATAGCACCCAGCACTCCTCCATGGCACTGCACAGCCCCCAGTGCAGGAGGGCTCTACCCTTCCCATGGCAATGAACTGCCTCACGTCTCCCTCCATGACACCTCCCAGGGTCCCCTGATCCTCCCATAGATTTGCATGGCCTCTACTCCCCCCCCTAAAGTCACATGCTTCCCTCCATGACTCCCAGCTCCATTCCATAGCAGCCCCCAGGGCCCTCCGCTTCCCTCTCCCATCCTTAAACCCCTGAAACCCTCCATCCTACATCAGAGTCCCCCAGTCCCCTCCATCTCCCCTTAAACCCCACTACCCCTTCTTTCTCTACCTTGCCCCCCACAACAGAAGCCCCTTCATTCACCCTCAGGACCGTTCACTCTCTTCCACAGTTCCCCCCAAAGCTCCTCCTTGATCCACTAACCCCCCCCCAACACCCCTAAGAACCCCCTGCTCCCCTTCACGTCCCACCCCCATAACTGCATCTCCCACAGCTCCCCTCACAGCAACCCACAGCCTCCAGCCCCATCCCATCACACACCACATCCTCCTATAGCATCTCACAACCTCCCTCCCCCTCTAAAACCCTCCATCCCACATCAGGGTTCCCCATTCCCCTCCATTTCCCCCTCAACCCCCCACCCCTCCTTTCTCTACCTTGCCCCTCACCACACAAGCCCCTCCATTCACCCTCAGGACCCCTCGCTCTCCTCCACAGTTCCCCCCAAAGCCCCTCCTTGACCCCCTAACTCCCCCCACAACACCCTTAAGAGCCCTCTGCTCCCCTTCACGTCCCACCCCCATAACTGCATCACCCACAGCTCCGCTCCCCTCCCACCCACCCCTCATAGCAACCCACAGCTTCCAGCCCCCTCCTATCGCTCACCACATCCTCCTATAGCATCCCACGACCTCCCCGCCCCCTCTAAAACCCTCCATCCTACATCGGGGTTCCCCACTCCCTTCTATTTACCCCTCAACCCTCCACCTCTTCTTTCTCTACCCTGCCCCTCACCACACAAGCCCCTCCATTCACCTTCAGGCCTCTCGCTCTCCTCCACAGCACCCCAAAGCCCCTCCATGACCCCCTCAATCCCCTCCACAACACCCCAAGAACCCCCTGTGATGCTGTTCAGCTGACAAACAGTCCTAAAGCTGGAGATAACCACAACGGACCGAACTACTCACACAGAGCAAATAAAGGAAGGCCTCCTCTCCTCACAGCCCCTCAATCTCCCTCAAACTCAGCCCATCCCCCCCTCAGGCCTCACCTTGCCCTCCAGGCCCTGAATCCGTCGCAGGCCCCGGGCCCGTCCTCAGGCACTGCCGACACACCGAATGCAAGCAAGGCAATAATCGCGGTTCCCTTTCAGCTTGAAGAAGTTTCCGGCAGCTTCCGCAACGTTCTAAGAGATCTACGAGATCCGGGCGCTTCTCGGCCGGGCCCGCAGCTTCCGCAGCCTCTTCTACCGGAGCCGACATGGCGGCCGCTGCTCCCCCTCAGCCCCTCACCAGGAGGACCCAGGAGCGCGCGCGGCCTGGGGAGCCGCCAGCAGCCAATCAGCGCCCTCGATAGGCTGAGAGGGTGGGGTGAAGGGGGGATTGACAGCGCGGGGAAGCAATGGGAAGAGGAAAGGCGTGACGAGCATGAAGGGGACTGGCCAGTCAGCTCGCGGGATGGGTGGATCTACGAGGTTGAGCCAATTAAAAGACTTGCAGGGGGAGGATTGGCAGGGCGTGAGTCCAATCCTCTTTTTCCATGCTCTCCGCCCCTCGGCTAATGAAGGCCTGGAAACCGAGAAGGCGGGCAGGAATGCTGTATACCAATCAGAAACCGAACCGCCTCAGAGAAGGCGGGAGCTTGAAGATAGACGTGAAGTTTCACCAATCATCATCCATTCTCCTCGGAAAGGCGGGATAGAGGCTCTGATTGACAGTTTCCCGAGCCAATCAGCTTTGCAAGTACCTCAGTCTTCTCTCAGCGCTCCGGAGTCACTCCGGTTCGATAGCGGTGGGAGGTGAGGGGGAGGGGGCGAGGGAGCTGGGGGTTATGGGGTCGATCTGCGGGGTGGGGGAGGGCTGGGATTAGGGGAGGGCTTCGGTGGTGGGCTGGGGTTGGGGCCTGAGTGTGGGGTTGGGGCCTGTGTGGGGTTAAGGCCTAAGTGTGAGGTTGGGGCCTGTGTGGTGTTAAGGTCTAAGCGTGGGGTTGGGGCCTGAGTGTGAGGCTGGGGCAAGGAGCTGCCCTTGCTTTGCTCAAGGAATTGCCCCAGAGTTGCGTGTAGGCCTGGCTTGAGGCTCTGGTGGGCAACTGCAAGGCCTCAGGTGTCGTCCCTCCCTTCTCCCCCCAAAAAGAACCCCAGCCTGACACACGTCACCTCACTCCCTTCCACCTTACCACCTCATTTTCCCCACTTCTAGCAGCATCCAACCCCTGAGAAGAAAATCTGACAGCATCCAAAGCAGCTTCCAGCTTCCCCAAGTGGTCACCGCGGCGTGGTGGTGAGTAAAGGCACCTTGAAAAGAGCTTAATCTCGCTGGCTGAACATCTCAGGGAAGTTTGGTGGCAGGTTGGGATCCTTTCTTGTTGGTGGCAGGGTTTTAGAAGTGGCCCTGGGTTAAGCGTGGGCCATGCTGGAGCAAATGGGACTGAATTAGAGTTCCCCCTCCTCCCCATGAAGGTAAGTGTCCCTAATCTCACCCAAAAGAACCCAAATTTGGGCCTGTTTTGGGGAGAGCCCCAAAACTGAGGCGAATCTGGGCCCATCCTGACACAAAATGAGGTCTTGATCTCCTGTTCCCAGTGTTCTCCCACTCCTCAGTTCCTAGTTTAAGAGGGGGGTCACCTCCATTACCAATTTAGGGGCTCCCTGGCTCTCACCCATTCCCACTTTTTGGGTGAGAGGGTGGATCCCCTTCCATATCACATCATGGGGATCCAGCAGGGCCTCTCAGGTGTCCCCAGGGCGTCTGTCACTAGTGGATGTCCCTGTTCTGCACCTCTGGGGATGTGGCAGCCAGCACTGTGAGTGACTGGGAGCACTGGGAGGGGGAAGTAGAGACACTAGGGATGTCTGAGAGCATTAGGAGGAAACTGGGAGCGTGACTGGAGGGTGAGTGGGAGTACTGGGTAACAGTGATGTCCCCGCAGGCACCATGTTCGTTGCCAAAGGGGCTTGGACATTGGTGGCCCCAGGACAACTTCCTGCCCACATCCCTCCTGGTGAGCACCTGTCACCTCTGTGTCTCCCTTATGTCCCCCAGGTCCCTCTGTGTGTCACCCCCATGTCCCCTCAAGTCCCTTGTGAGTTCCAAGTGTGTCTTTATAACTCATAATGTTTCCCTGTGACACTTCATGGCCCCACCATGTGTGCCCCCACATCCCTGCCTGTCCTCCCTGTGTCCCCAGGTCCCTCTATGACACTCACATCCCCACGCTATCCCTCTGCATCCACCTACCCACATACTCACATCACACTATATCTCCCCCTCACTTGACGTGTCCCTGTGTCACATTGCACGTCCCTTTCTGTGTCTCCAGCCTCCCTGTCATGCTACCTTGTCCCTCCACATCCCCACAACATACAGCATGTCCCCTCTGCATCCCTATGCCCCCCAAGCTGTGCTTTGTGTCCGTGGTGCTTCCTTACATAGCTGTGTGCTCCTCACATCGCTCTGTGTGCCCCATCAGTCTGCATGTCTGCGTGCCACCCCACGTCACTCCAGTGTCCTCTATTTCCCTCCTTGTCACGTAGCATGTCATCCCACATCCTCATGTCACTCCAGATGTCCTGTTTTGCTCTGTGTAACCCCTATGTCACTCTACATGTCCCAGTGCCCTCTCACATCACTCCATGTATCCCATGTCACACCAGATGCCCCTCCTTTCACTCCATGCCTTCTCCATGTCACTCTGCATGTCCCTCAGGATGTTCCCATGTCACTCTGCATGTCCAACTGCCCTCTCACATCACTCCACGTGTCCCCACGTCACACCATACACCCCTTCTTTCACTCTGTGCCTCTTCCATGACACTTTGCATGTCCCCTGTGTCATTCCACGTGTCCCCCATGTCACTCTACTTGTCCCAGTGCCCTCTCACATCACTCCTTGTATCCTATGTCACACCAGATGCCCCTCCTTTCACTCTGTGCCTCCTCCTTGTCACTCTGCATCTCACTGCCTCCCCGTCTTACACCAAACATCCTCCATTTCACACTTTCTGCCCCCACGTGCCCCCATTACCCCCACACCCCACCCCTTCTCATCTTTTCCCTCTCCCCACAGCCCCAGGACCATCCCTGGAGCCATCCCTCCCCACCCACCAGCTCAACATCCCCGCTTCCCCACCTCATCCCAGCCCTCACCGCTGCTCCGACTGCGGCAAAACCTTCGCCGCCCGCTCCCGCCTGGCTGTTCACCGACGTGTGCACACAGGTGAGCGACCTTTCTCCTGCCCCCACTGCCCCAAACGTTTCAGCCAGAGCTCAGCACTGGGTTTGCACCTCCGTCTTCACACCGGCGAGCGACCTCACGTCTGCTCCGACTGCGGCAAAGCCTTCGCCGTCTCCTCACACCTGGCTGTTCACCGACGTGTGCACACCGGAGAGCGGCCCTTCGCCTGCCCCCACTGCCCCAAACGTTTCAGCCAGAGCTCAGCGCTGGCTCTGCACCGCCGTGGACACACCGGGGAAAGGCCTCACGCCTGCACTGACTGTGGCAAAGCCTTTGCTGTGGCCTCACACCTCACAGCTCACCGCCGCATCCACACCGGGGAGAAGCCATTTCCGTGCCCACGATGTGGGAAGTGCTTCAGGCAGCGCTCCGGACTCGTCACGCATCAGCGGGGACACAAGTAGGATTGGGGATGTCAGGATGGCTGCTTGGTGTCTACCAGAGCTGCCTCCAGGGATGCCAGGATCTCCAAAATCCCCTGTGTAGCTCTGTCCATTCTGTAGGCATCACTTGCGGCAGCCTTCAGGATATCAGAACACGCTCCAGATGTCACCCAAGCTGTCTGCAGGAGCCCCAGCATCTCCAAAATATGGACATGAGGAATCCCTTTACCTCTGCTCATCATGTATCAGCAGGGACACAAAGTAGGCTTGGGGACATGGGACAGCTGCTCAGTGTCACCAGAGCTGCCTTCAGGGATGCCCTGATCTTGACTTGAATCCCCCATAGCTCTGTCCATTCTGTAGGCATCACTTGGGGCAGCAGTAGCCTTGAGGACATCAGAAGAGGCTCCAGATGTCACCCAAGCTGCCCAGCATCTCAAAATACGGACATCAGGAATCTCTTTAATTCTGCCCATCACCACAGGGACAAATTGGGGAACCATGCCTGCTCTCTGGTCACACACACACGAGGACACACAGAGCCATTGCGGACTCCAGAAAGGAATCTCTTTGTCACCAAATCTGCCCCAAGAAACTGTCTATTGCCATGGGGACATCAGGGAGCTGCCAGCAGCATTCTGCTCACATACCCATGGGGAAACGTGGACCTGGAGACACCCCACATCCAGCTCTCGACATCCCAATCCAGGTCCAGACTCCCCAGCCTCCCTCCAGAAACCCCAGTTTTGCCCTGTATCCCCCTGCATCGTCTGGGATCACATCCTTTGAGATCCCATCCCCTTATCTCTGCTCCTCCTGGGTAGGGGGGTGACATCACATCCTTTTTAAAGAGGCAGCAGCACTTCTAAACGGGGCAAAAATTTAAAGAAAGGGGGAAATCGCCTTTGTCAGCACCGCATGCCACATTCCCTTAAAGTGTAGGTGAGGGACGGGTGTCCCCCGGGGGAGAGAGAGGGGAGGGAACGTGAGGATAAAAGGAGACGACAGCAGTGCGGAGGCAGCACGCAAAGTTAACCACCATCGAGTCTCGGTCCGCCGAGCGGTGCAGAGCGGCCCCTGGTGGGGCACGAGAGCTTCCGGGGGCGCGGGTCGAGGGCGGTGGAGGCGGTGCGGCTGCAAAACGGTGAGGGGAGGGCCGGGGGGGCTGCAGGGTTACCCACGTTCCCAGGACTCCGCCGGGTACAGGGAGCCCCGATCTCACCTCCCGTTGCCACCGTGTGTTCCCCATTTCCACGTTCGTTGTCTTTTCAAGGTCCCACCGCCCCCCAGAATCCCATCCATGCCCGTTTTCCCTCGCCCCTCCCCCCCCACCACGTTTGGTGTCCCCTTGTTCTGAGGCCACGTCTTCCCTCAGGCCATGGAACAGCCGGATGAGCCACTCAGAGAGTGGGATGGAGATGGGGACACAGCGCCTGGCGGCCACCAAGGTGAGTCCTGGGATGTTGTGGGTCAGTGGGGGCATGGAGGGTTGGGCATCATATGGTGGGCACAGCCAGGAGAGGGTTGAGGACACGTTCCTGTGACTGTTCCCTGCTCTGTCTGTGCTGCGGAGGGAGGTGTGGCAGCTCTGTGGTCCAAACTCAAACCCCAAACCAGCTGCATTTGGAGCAGGTTCCTCACAGCCTCATCCTGAGGATTTTTTCAAGTGAAGACCCACCACCTGCCAGGTTCTGTCTTTGGTTCTATTCCACCTGAGGGAGTTTTGAGGGTCTCTGGGGGAACCAGGTCCAACCCCATGCTGTGTGGGTCTGACATTCACCACTGCAGTCCATCTCAGTCATGTTCCTTCTGATTGTGTCTGTATAAGAGTTGGGTGTCTCCAAGGACAAGGACCCCACGTCCTTAGGCCTGTCCTTGGTGGCACAGGAGGCTCTCCCTGTTCCAGCTCCAAACCAATTCCAACACCAACCAGAGCAGTTCTTTGTGGTCCGTGTTCCTCATGGGCCCTCCCAATGAACTTTGAGGACCTCTAAGAATGGAGACATACCACATCCCCTGTCCATTCCATCACAGCAGGGAATGGGAGCTATTCACGCTCCCTGCACCAAACCCAAATCAGATCCAGACCCAGTCAACACATCCCATTTAGGGCCATAACTCTCATGGCCACGTCCAGATGAGGGAGAATTCTGAGAGGGCACTCTGTTGGTTGGTAGTTGGATTGGTCAGAAGCGTAATTAAGGGATTCAGAGAGGGTAATTAAGAACCCCCATGGTGACACCCATCTCTGTCCCACCACAGGCACCATGGAGACCCCTGAGGTGGACACCCCTGACAGCCTGATAACATCCCCACTGCCTCCACCATCCCTGGAACTGGACTGGGCCTGGGGGCTTCCCCCCACATCCCCTCCAAGCGCTCGGAAGCCCTACAAGTGCACCGAGTGTGGCAAAGCTTTTGGGCAGAGCTCACACCTGATGCGACACCTGGGCACCCACACGGGTGAGAAGCCCTACAAGTGCAGTGCCTGCACCAAGAGCTTCACCCAGAACTCCAACCTGCTCCAGCACCAACGCACCCACACTGGTGAAAAACCCTATGAGTGCAGTGCCTGCGGCAAACGCTTTGGCTGGAGCTCCAACCTCAGCCAGCACCTCCGCCTTCACAGCGGCCAGAAACCCTTCCAGTGCACCCAGTGTGACAAATGTTTCAGCGAGAGCTCCCGTCTGGTGGAACACCAGCGCACCCACACTGGTGAGAAGCCCTACCTCTGCCCCGATTGCCCCAAAACCTTCAGCCGTAGTTCCCACCTCATCCGTCACCGCCGCCTCCATGCTGCTGAGCAGGGACCCAGCCCTGCCCTGGCTGTGCAGCAGGGGCTCTGAGGGACTCCCTGGGGGGACGGGAGGAGGTCATGATTAATTTGGGTTTGCCCTCTTGGTGCCCATCATCAACAGAAAGATTCATGGCATGACCTAGAGCTGCTGTGGAACGTGGTTTGCCCTTTTGGTGCCCATCATCAAAAGAAAGATCCATGGCGTGACCTACAGCTGCTGTGGAACATGGTTTGCCATTCTGGTGCCCATCATCAACAGAAAGATTCATGGTGTGACCTACGGGTGCTGCAGCCCTTCTGTGGTGGCCCCTGGGAGCAGGGTTTGGCCCTGCAGGTGTTTGTCATCAAGACACAGATTTCAAGAAGATCTGTGATGTGGTCAGGGGAGTCTTACGGCTTCTCCACGGTGGCTACTGGGGTGCAGTCAGGCCCTTTTGGCACCATTCATCAGCACAAAGACTTGGGGAGGACCTGTGATGTGGCCATGGGCTCCTGTGGCATTTCTGCAGTGGCCCTGGGGACACGTGTGACTCCATCAACATCTGTTGTTAAGGGGAACCAATGTGGGCAAACAGCCACAGGACTGTGGACAGAATGGGCCACAAAGAGTTTGTAATGTGGTCAGTGGCTATGCAGCCTTTCTGAGGTGGCCATGGGATGTGGACAAGACATTTGGTGGCCATCCTCAACACAAAGACTTGGGAAGGCCCAACGGAAAAAAGAATTGGCCCTGGTGTCCCCATTGGCTCTTGCAGAAGCCATGTGGGCCACTGGAGGTGACACGGGCACACAGACACAGAGACTTGGGGAGGATCTGTGACATGGCTGATGGCTACTGCAGCCCTTCTGTGGTGGCCGTGTGCCCGTGATCCAGCCCTGCTGACACCCACAATCTGCTGGGTGAGAACCTCACGGGCAGGCAGTGGGGTAGGAGGGATTTTTAAGGAAAATAGTTGCATTAATGGCACTAAATGAGTCCTTAAAACCTGCGTGTTGATTTTCACAACCCGCCAGCACCCCAGAGTGTGTTTAACCACCCCTACAGCTGCAGTTCAGAGCTAAAAGGAAACCCCATTATTGAGAAACACATCCTGGGTGGGAGGGGACGAGTGGGATGGACCTCATCTCTCTCCATCTGTCCATCCAGGGCATCAAATCCACAACAGGGGTCAAAGTCCTCCAGGTTTCACTCCACGGTGCTCAAAGAGTCAGTCTGGGGGTGGCGACAAGCCTCTGGGGCACCCTTATGCCATGTGAGCGTGACTGACACCCACGCCCTTGGTGTCTGGTGGAGGTGGCCCTGGAGGTGGCCCTGGAGGTGGCACGGGGTGGGTGGCAGCAGCGTGCCGCTCCAGGAGGGTGCGGTGGGAGAAGCCTTTGGTGCAGAGGCGGCACTGGAAGCGCTCGGCGCGGTGGGTTCGCATGTGGACGTTGAGGGAGCTCTTCTGGGTGAAGCGTTTGCAGCAGATGCTGCACTGGAAGGCACGGACGCCCGTGTGGGTCACCATGTGCTTCAGCAGGTAGTCACGGAGTGAGAAGGAGCGCCAGCAGATGGAACACTGATGGGGCTTCTCACCTGTGGAGAGACAGACAGGTCAATGTGGAGCACCACGGATCAATACGGGAGGCACCACAGATCAGTTACAGGCCAACATGCAGCAGCACAGGTTAATATCACCAACATGGAGCTACGTAGGCTGACAGCAGGTCATTGTGGACCAACTCAGGTCAACGTGATCAACATGGAGCTATGCAGATTGACAGCAGGTCATTGTGTGCCTACACAAGTCAATGTGATGAACATGGAGCTATGTAGGCTGATAGCAGATCGTTGTGGGCCAACTTAGGTCAATATGATCAACATGGAGCTATGTAGGTTGATGGCAGGTCATTGTGGACCAACTCAGGTCAACGTGATCAACATGGAGCTATGTAGATTGACAGCAGGTCATTGTGTGCCTACACAGGTCAATATGATCAACATGGAGCTATGTAGGTTGATGGCAGGTCATTGTGGGCCAACTCAGGTCAACATGAGTCATATGTGGGCCAACGTAAGTCAAAAGAGAGTGATGTCAATATGGATCCACAGAGGTGGCATGTCTGACAGATCAGAAAGCACCAAATGGATCAGCGTAGGTCAACGTATATCAACATCCATCAACACAGGTCTTTGTGTGTCAACACAGAATGAGATGGGTCAGCACAGACCTATGTGGGTCAACAGAAATCAGCACATGTCACCGTAGATCAACATGGGTCAACGTAGCGTGACATATATCCACATGGTCCGAGACAGATCAACCCTGGAGCAATACGGGACAACCCAGAGACACAGAAGTCAATGCAGGTCAATGGATTTCAGTAACACAGCTCAGTTTGGGTCAGCATGTTTCAGCATGGTTCAGCACAGGTTGACAAGAGCAACTGAGCAATGTGGGTCAACACAGCTCTTCCCATGTGGATCAGAGTGGAGCGATGCAGAGAATGCCCAAGTCAGCACACCAACACAGATGAATATGGATCAGTGTGAGTCAGCAGGGATCGATGGGTCAACAGTGACACGGGTAAACATAGGTTGATGCAGATCACCTCAACGCATCAACACGGAGTGACGCGGGTCAACATACATCGTCGTGGATCAACACAGAGCAACGTGGGCATGTGTCCCAAACCTCCTCACTCTGGGTGTCCCCACTACCTCTGTGTCTCCTCCTCACCCTCCTCCCCCAGTGTCACCATCTCAACGTCACCATTTCCATTCCCTCATCGTACCAACCCCGCTGCCCCGTGTGTCTCTGTCCCACCAACACCCTCACCCACCCACATCTTCATCTCCACATATCCCCCTGCCCTCGCTGTCCCCCATCAGAAGGACCCAGCCAGGACTTGCTCTGTCTCTACACCCCCCAAGGAGCCACATGGACCCCACGTCCCCACTTTGTCCCCTTACCAGAGTGGATGAACATGTGCTTGGTGTAGTTCTTGCGGGAGCTGAAGGTCTTCTGGCAATGGCCACACTGGTAGGATGGCTCGGGGCGACGTGACGGGCCGGCCCGTGGCACCTTGGGGACCAGAGGGACACCACCACTCGTCCCTCCCTCCACAAACCCCTCCTCGTAGAGGGGTGGCACAGTGGGGGCAAACCCTAGGCTGCTCCCTCCCAGCTCCACCTCTGTCCCAAAAGCTGGACCCCTCCCCGATGCCTCCAGGCTGCACTCAGGTCCCACTTTGCCCCCATCATCACTCGGCCAAGGTGGCAGGAAGGCATCAGAGAAGACGTCGGGGGGACCAAAAAACGGCGGCTCTTCGGCAGGGAACGGCACGGGGGGTGCTGAGCCTTCCTCATTGCCTCCCCCCACCTCCTCTTCCTCCTCCTCCTTGACTGGCAGCTGGAGCCGCAGCGGTTGCCTCTGCTTACGGCTGTGACAGCTGGACGGTCCGAAGTAGCCATCGTTCTCCTGTGGTGGCATCAAGAGCTCACGGAGCTTGTGGTGAGCATCAGCAGGCACCGGCGGCGGCGGTCGGGCAGGTGGCAGCACTTTGGGACTGCGGCTCTGCGAGATGATCTGCGTGCACTCATCGATCACCGTCTTGATCTGTAGGATGGAGGCAGCGGTGAGGATCTGCAGAGCTTCGGATTGGGCCACCACCAGGCACCCGCTGTACATGAACTCCACCAGCTGTCTCACGGCCCCGCTGGGGACGACGGGCGGCACTTCGATGGCCGAGTGACCCAGCAGCAGTTTGTCGTGGAAAAAAGGGCTGCCGGCCGCCAGGACGCAGCGGTGAGCACGCAGGGTGGCTTCACGGATACGAACTGTCACGTCGCAGAAGTGGCCTCCCAGGCGCTGCCCGTTGAGGGTTTCCAACAGCGAGCGGCTGAAGTTCTGCAAGTGGATGTAATGCACGGCCTCAGCCATGGCAGCGGGGACGGCGCGGAGCGGGGTCCGTTGCTGAGGTCTGGAGGTACCTGGAATCACCAGAATTAATCACCGAGGTTGGAAAAGACCTTCAAGATCATCCAGTCCAACCTATCACCGATAGTGCTCACTAAACCATATCCCTCAGCACAAAATCCAAACATTCCTCGAACACCTCCAGGGTCGGTGACTCCACCACCTCCCTGGGCAGCCCATTCCACTCTGTTGGAGCAGACATATTTCCTAACGTCCAGCCTAAATCTCCCCTGGTGCAGCTTGAAGCCATTCCCTCTACTTCTGTCACCAGTTACATAAGAGAAGAGGCTGACCCCGAGCTCACTGCAACCTCCCTTCAGGTTGTTATAGAGAGCAATAAGGTCTGCCCTGAGCCTCCTCTTCTCCAGACTGAACACTCCCAGCTCCTTTAGCTGCTCCTCATAAGTCCTGTGCTCCAGACCCCTCACCAGCTGCGTTGCCCTTCTTGGAACATGCTCCAGGGCCTCGGTATCTTTCTTGCAGTGAGGAACCCAAAACTGAACACAGTACCGGAGGTGCAGCCTCACCAGAGCTGAGTACGGGGGGACGATCACCTCCCTGCTCCTGCTGGCCACGCTATTTCTAATGCAGCCCAGGATGCCATTGGCCACCTGGGCACACTGCTGGCTCGTGTTCAGCTGAGCACCAACCAACCCCCCCAGGTCCATTTCCTCAAGGCAGTCTTCCGGCCACTCCGCCCCAAGCCTGTAGCGTTGCCTGGGGTTGTGGCCATATTGCAGGACCCGGCGTTTGGCCTTGCTGAACCTCATCCCTAGTGGCACCGCAACGTCTCCGGGGAAAAGGGGGGGGGGGGGGGGGGGGGGGTGTGACGTCATCGGGCGTTGGTGACGTCATTAGCCGGGGATGCCCGCAGAAGGCGAGGCTTGCACTCACCTCGCGGCAGCAGCCGCCGCCGCCTCCCCCCACGCCCCGAAGCACTGCCGCCGCCGCCGCTGCTGCTTCCGGTCGCCGCCTTGCGTCACTTCCGGCCGGTGAACGGAAGTGAGTGAGGAGCATAGAGACTAGGGGAGAGTGCGCGGTCCTCCAGCCTCCGCAACCATAGAGACGGGCTGGGGAGAGGGAGGCACGATGACGACTGCCATAGAGACCCCACAGAGCCCCAAAGGCGCCTTCGCAGGGACTCAGTGACCCCCATGGCGACCCTGTGGTGCCTCAATCCCCTGTGGAGACCCACGAGGAGCTGAAGTCCCCCTGTGAAGACCCCTAAAGGCTCCCATAGGGTGACCAACTGGGATCCCCTATATGACCTGTGCCCTTCATTGATCACTATAGATTCCCATGGGGATCCACGCAGGTTTGGGTTCCCCTGTGGAGCCACACAGGGAAAATCTGGTCCTCCTATAGACCTGCGCAGGGGGCTTTCCCCCCACCAGCATCCCCCTATAGGGTCTGACTCCCCTATGTACCTCCCAGATGGCTCACAGAACCCTATAGGGATCCCCACAGGTCCTGGATCCTCTGTGTTGACCCGTGTTGGTGCAGTGCTGATCCATTTCGACCCATGTTTTGTTGGTCCATCATCCTGATGTGTTGATCTGTGTGGCAGTTGATCCCCATTGCCCCATGATGATCTATGTCGACCCGTGTTGCTCTTCACTGACCCATATTGATCTGTGTTGACCCATATTGATCTGTGCTGACCCACCTTGATCTGTGCTGACCTATCTCAACCCCCATTGGACCCACACTAATTCAAATGGCCGGGTGCACCAAGGAGGTGCCCCGTAGAGATGCCTTCTTCCTCCATGAAGATGCTTGGGTGCTCCAAGGAGATTCTTCAGTGCTCCGAGAGCACCCTTGGGTGATGCTAGGGTACCTCAGAAACATGCTTGGTGATCCAAGGAGGTGCTTATGGAGATGCTTGGTTTCACAAAGACATTCTTGGGTGCCCCAGGGTGGTTCTCGGGTGCCCTTGGTGATCTTTCTGTCCCTGTTCTATGCTTGGATGCCCACTTCTACGCTTGGATGCTCCAGAAAGATGCTTTGGGTGCTTCAGGGAGGTGCCCACGTCCCTGGGGCGAGGGCTGGCCCTGATGCCACCCAGGGCAGAACAGACATCCCTGTCCACCTGTGTCCCCTGGGGGGTGGGCGGGCACTGGGTAAAGCCTGAGGGGGGGCCCAAGAGGAGGTGGGAGGTTCCTTGTGTCCTCCTATGCCCGCGGCGTGGGTGGCACCAGCAGTGCCACACTTGACACTGCAGGGACGTGACAAAGCGAGGAGATACCAGGGTGGTATTTGTCAACCCCCCCCCCCCTTCCACCTCCCCCCCATTCCTAAGGACTCCTACGGGGGGCAGGGAGGGTGTTATTATTGTAGTGTCTCCTCAGATTTCGTATTGTCGAACCTTTACCAGTTTGGGTCGTGATGGATGAGGGACCCCTCAAGCTGGCACAGGTGAGTGGGGACTGGGATGGGGAGGGGCAATGAAGGGGAGGACTCCCCCACCCCTACCCAGGCACTGATGAGGACTGAGATAGGCTGAAATATGAGGGAAACTCTATGATTGGAGAGGGGGTGAACATAAAAATCTGGGGGAGCTCCCTCCCAGAACACCCAGATGTCCACGGTGGGGGGATGTAGGGATATGTAGGGATATGTAGGGAGAGCCCCCACCCAGCAGAACCAATGGTCCAGGAGGGGGACAGTTGTCTGGTGGGAGGAGGGGGGTGGATTTAGGGGACCCAGATTTTGGGGGGTGGGGGGGACACAAAGTCTGAGAGAGGGTGAGTGAAGTTGTGGGGGTCACCCAGGTATGGCATGGGGAACCCTAATGTCCTGGATTAGGGGGTGCAGGGATTTAGAAGACCCCTTTAAATTCCCCACAGGGGAGAGAAGCAGCGACGTGGGGACCCTCAGCACCCGTAAGGGACCCCATTTCCCACCTTTTTCCCTTATCAGGGCCCCAGCCCCCCCTCCCTTCTTCCCCCGGCCCCATTGGCCTGCGGCCAGCCCTAAGGCTGGAATTGGGACACGGGGCGGGGACAGGGGCCACTGCTGTCCCAGAGCCAACGCTGCTCTTATTCCAACCACGGGAAAGCACCCAGGGGTGGGGGGGTGGGGCAGAAAAGATCCCCCCCCGCCCCCCCCCCC